TTAAAATTGCTAATAGTTGATAATTTTTTACTCAGAAGTAGGCAATTTCATATGCCTCAACCTAATAATTATAGGTGAATTAAATAGTTATCATACTGAGGCTTTACTTGAAAGATCTTCCAGCCTAAAAGCAAAATTGCCTTTTATTTTATTAGGCATTCATTGGTTATTCATCAAAAATAGCTTTTGAATGCCTGCTCTGTGCCAGCCCTGTGCTAGGCCTCATGGATATACCCATGAATAAAGTAAACCTATTTACTGTTTTGGGGGAATCTGCCATCCAATGGGGGACACAAACAATTAACTATAAACAGTTACAGTAAAGTTGCATGAGAGTTGTAGAAGAAAGAATACATATTGCTGTGCTGCAAATGACACAAAGGATTTCTCATCTTTGTATTCTGAAATATTTCTTGTTCACAATCATCCAGGGGGTGAATAGGTGTGGTGGGGTAGGGTGTGGTGTTAAAAGTCAAAGGAAATAGCACATAGCTCAAGGGTGAGATAAAGCGTGGCAATTTTATAGAGTGTGAACAGAGATAAGGCCAGAGAGATAGATAGGGGCCAGACCTTTGAAAACTTCATAAGGCATATTAAAGATTTCACATAAAATTAAGTCATTGAAACATTTTAAGTAGGCAGGTTATATATTCAGGTTTATAAGACAGTATGCAAACTGGTTTAGACTGGCCATCTAAAAGCAGATTGTCTTCATTCTAATCCTAATTCTACTGTATTCTAACCATTGACATTGGGCAATTAAATATCCCTAGGCTTTGGTTTACTTATCTGTAAAATGGGATAATAGTACCTTATTTGTAGAGTTATTAGAAATAACTTAGATAATGTATGAAAATACTTAGTATAATTCATAGTCTATACTAAATGTAAATAACTGCTTATTATTATTTTTGCATTATTGTTATTAGTTTTAGAAAGATCATTCTGGTCACTTGGGATAATGGTCTAAGGTTAATTGCATCAAAACCTGTTAATTGGGGCCAGCCCGGTGGCGCACTGCGATAGTGCGATGCTTGGGAAGCGCGGCGGCGCTCCCGCCGAGGGTTTGGATCCCACGTACAGACCGGTTCCCGCTCACTGGCTGAGCGAGGCGCGGGAGCAGCACCGAGGGTTGCGATCCCGTTGCCGGTCCCGGTCCGGTGCGGGGGTGACACTGAGGGTTGCGATCTGTTGCCGGACACGGAAAAAGACGAAAAAAACCTGTTAATAATTCAAGCAAGAAATAATTGTAACTTGCACTGGGATACTGGCAGAGGGGATAGAGAAAGAGATATTATTTGAGAGAATTGCAGAGGTAGAATCCTTGGCACTTGGCGATTGAGTGCATGTGGGAGGTGAGGGAGAGGGAAGAATAAAAGATGAGCCACAGTACCTCAAATTGTTTTTGAAATGATGATATAAATAATCCCACATCAGCTGCACTAAAATAATGTTAATTTATCGATGTTTAAAGCTCATTTTTACCAAATAATAAGTGATAGATAATGCCGTAAGTGAACCTTATGAATTTGAAGAACTGAGACTGATTCTTCGTCATATAGTAGTTAAGCCTCTGAAAAGGTTGGGAGAAGAATAAATATAATTTGAACAGTGTTTTCCTTTTTTTCCCTTTTTGCCTTGTTGCCATTTAAGTTCTGTCATTTTGTTATTTTAATTTATTATTTCATTATTTTAATTATATTAGGTTGAGCCATATAGAAGTTGCCATTTTTTGCAGGCCAGAAAATATTTAGCCAGAAATGAAATGGTTAAATATTGGCAGGTTCATATGGTTCCATCCAATTATACTCTTGTTCTGTAAGAATTTTTAACTGGGATTGTGAGGGTCTGTTTAAGATAGATTTGAATACCAAAGACTATCTGAAGGAATGTTGCTGCAATGACATAAGAAAAAGTGGAGCTGAGCCCCATGAAGTAGGCAAGTTTAGCCAGGCATCATCTTTTCTCACCAAATCAATATGACTCTGGGAGGACATCCTGATAACAAGTTTTTTTGTTAGCCTTACTAACAGCCTTATTTTTGCTCCCCACCTCCCATTATAAAAATAGTACATAGAAATAGGAAAGTTCAAAAAATATAGAAAGCTATAAAGAAGAAAATAATCCCACCGTCCAATGAAAAGTTTTTTAAAATTTGTTGTAGAGTTGATTTTTAATGTATTTCCTCCCAGTCATACACAGAAATGGTTGCTTTGCCTTCAAAAAAAAGAATATATCATGAGACCACTATTTTTAAAAGAAAATGTATATATAGATTTTTGTGAAAATATAGATTTACTACCTCCCCCAGTCATTAATAACTTGTCTCTTTTGAGGAAAATGTTTTTCTGTAATCCAAACCAAAATATTTAATTCTTGACTGATTCAATTAAATGTAGCTATCAGGTTTTTGTTTATTTGTCTTAGTTTTCTGTGAGTGTTTAGATTGTAGCCTCTAGAGTAGTTTTACTAAAATAGAGGTGAAGTTGAAAGAATTATTATTGTACTAATGATAGTAATGTAACCTTGTAGTTTTATTGAATTTTTATTGTATTTTTAATTCTTTCAAATTATCATCCAATATAATGTCTATTTTTATCAGCATAGCCATCTGGTTTTATACATGAGAAACCTGAGATATAGAGAGAATAAGTTACATGCCCACATTCATAAGTAGTAGAAAAGCCTGGACTCCTCCTGGCTTTGGTGAATGCTTTTTTGAAATTTATTTGAAATACAGTCACTCTGTATTTATTGAAATACAGTAACTCTCAGAAATCATTCCTTTAGCCATTGAATATTTTTTAAGCTCTCAATAAATTGGGTTCAATAATAAAGTCTATGGCAGGTGTATAGAATAGTGAATAACCTGATTTGGCTAGAAGAGGGCAAGGTGTTTAAAGGAGAAGTAGAATGGTGAGATCAGATTTAAAGTATGAAAAACTGAAAGGAGGAAATGAGTTTGAGAACCATTGTAGAAATAGATTCCCAGGACTTGGTGACTAATTACAGTACATCGAGGGAGAAAGTGGTCAAGATGATTTCTAAGTTTCATACTGGAGTGCCTGGGAAAATGTCAGGGAAAAAACGAGAGGCTTATTTGGTGGGAAAGATGTGTTTAATTTTGGACAGGCTGTGGTTGAAGTCTCTACAGGACATCCAGGTGGAAGATGTGTGACTAGTAGGCAAATTGTAGATGGAAAAGGGAGCTCAGGAGTGAAGTCAGGACTGGAGACCAAGGCAGAGAGATTATCTGTGTTGAGGGAATAATTGCTGCCATGTCATTCCCTCTTTCCAGGTACCTTCCCTTTTCATATGCATAGCCTCTGTGTATTTGAGTAGTACATGACAGCATTGTATCCAGATAGCTGGTGCGAACCTTAGAACTGTGCACTCACAGTAAGAGAAGGCACTTCAGGATTCAGAAGAGCCCAGCCTCAAGCAATGCAACATGAGATGGGGGGAAAACACTAGCTTTTTAGGGAGGCTTAAAATTTTAGTTTCATGAGCAGAAAGTGAGTAAAGGTGTCTGCTCCCCATGTGCTAAGTGTTGGTAAGCTTTTTATGTACACTTTATTTCTCAACAACCCCGTGAAATAGGGAATAGTATTCTCATTTCACAGATGATGAAACTGAGGCCAAGAGAGGCTAAGTAATATTAGAGCATGTGTTTGAACCAGATGGGTGTTTCTGTGATGCTATTGGTCTTTTTACTATGCCACATTTTATGTTTTCCAATGAGACCCATCAAATATTGCTATCAAGTTTAAGCTCAAATAGGTTTTTTAGTTCCTTGCCTTTGTGTATTAAGTACAGTGCTTCAGATTTAAAATATGATTTTTTGGATTCTGATTATGGGTTGCCATTTGCCAGCAATAAGAAAGCATGTGAATAAAACGAACAAAAAATGAAAGTTGTATCACATAATATATGTCGTCACTCAGGTGGACAGACCTCCTGGAATGCTTATAAATTCGAACATTTCTTTATTTTCTTTTACTCTATTGGGTATGTGGAACTTTATTTAGAAGGATGAATTCAAAGTTCAAAGATATCTGGGGAAAAAAATAGTAAAATTACACATTTTCACAGCACTCCACCCCTGATTAGCTGAAAATTGTCATTATTTATGACATTACCAGAAAAAACACATTTTAGGTAGGCAGAACCAAGATTGTGTGTTCTAAGATACAAAGGCTTATTTGTACGATGAAACTTTCTATAATTTTCAAGCCTGGGTAGAAATGGGTACATTTACTTTTCCATGTTTTGTTTGTATATTTCTGTACTGCTTTTCAGCAAACTAGAATAAAGAAATGGCATCTCAAAGCTAGAGGATAGTAGTGTCAAATTCAGGAACAATGTAGTTTCTCTTCTGTGTGTGTACTGTTTCTGCAGTATTTGGAATGGGTGATATTTTCTTTATTTTTCTCTTGGAAAACTGATTTCAAAATTCCTTAATATTGGCCAATGTCCAGGGAATCATGAGAGAGAAAATTAATGCTGAATATTTAGCCTTCTAGCTAGAATTTCTTATGTAGCTGAATTATGGTTCCTCAGTTGCCATGCACTGTAAACAATCTTCTTTAATATTGCTCTTTGTTGTTTGGGAAAATGCCACAAAAAAGTAGGAATTTCCCCTCACCATTACCCCTCTGGCAGTGTGTTTCAGTCTAATTCCTGACACTGTCCTGGTTACCACCCCTTCTCCTTGCTCTAAATTCTGCTTACCTACTAAAAGGGGGATTCCAGACAGACGAGGAAACAGCTTTCAAATGCTGCACTGCAGGCATACTAAGCCATTCCCCCAGTGTGCAGTCTGGAAGTGGGTGAGCTCCTCTCTGGCAATGAATTCTGAGTTGCTAAAGATGACAGAGTGTGTGCGCACATGCGTTTTCTTCCCCTCCCCCGTTCTTCCTATTCCCAAGCCCCCTCTTCTCCCTCTTTCCCCTCCTACTCCTTTATCCCCTCCCTCTGTGTCTCAGTTCTGCAGTATACAGGGCTGAAGCACATTCCTGCTTTGCAAGGCTTTCTGTTAAGGATGCATTGTGGCTTTTGTTTGGATTGCAGCATGCGGAATTACAGGTAACACTCTGAAATTGAGCTAAACAGTTAAATTCTGTTGAAATGTTTTCAAAGATGCAAAATATTGCATTGAAATCAATGAAGAAAATAAGTTATCTTGGCTAATTTTATTAGTGGTAATTGTAGTGAAATGTTTTTAGAAATGCTATAAGCAAATTCCTTTTCTCCCCCAAAAGGTTCAAATGAAAGGAAATGGGGGTGGATTGAGCTGACTGTGATTGATTTTTATTTTATGTTGATTTTGAAAGCTTGATGTTGCTGCTCCTCCTCTGTAGTGTAAGGACCAGTTGTTATGTGGGGTGCTACTGAAGGTAGCCATGAATATTGGTACCAGGAAGGGTGGAGTGGGAGGGGTGATACCAGCCTGAGCTGGCTAGGTTCTTTGATTAGGGCATTGGATGCGAAATGTAAAATGCTCTCTCCTTTTCTTCTATCAGCTGTTCAGAGGAGACTCATTACAACTCCTGCTGAAGCTCCTAATCTTCCTCCCTTCTCTTCTGCCCCTTCCCCCTACCCTCACTTGGCCTGAAGACGTTGTCCCCAGAGTTTGCCTTACTCCCCTGCTGCTATGTGTATGGTGAACCTGGCACTATGGCCGCGTCTGGGACTGGCCAGACAACTGCTGCTGGCTTTCCCTATTCCAAGAAGGATTTAAAGGGGAATTGTACTGCAGGCAATGAACCAGAGCAGCAGCATCGGGAGCTTGGGGACTAAGGCTCCTCTGTCATTATTACACACTTGCAGAGCTGACCGCAATGACAGCAGCTGCTCCTTTGAACTGTTGGCAGCAGCCAAGCGGCAGCATGAAGTGAGAGATCACTCCTGAGCTCAAGATGAACTCCACCTTGGATGGTAATCAGAGCCACCCTTTTTGCCTCTTGGCATTTGGCTATTTGGAAACTATCAATTTTTGCCTTTTGGAAGTGGTGATTATTGTCTTTCTAACTGTATTGATTATTTCTGGCAACATTATTGTGATTTTTGTATTTCACTGTGCACCTTTGTTGAACCATCACACTACAAGTTATTTTATTCAGACTATGGCATATGCTGACCTCTTAGTTGGAATAAGTTGCCTGGTCCCATCCTTATCACTCCTCCACTACCCCCTTCCAGTAGAGGAGTCCTTGACTTGCCAGATATTCGGTTTTGTAGTATCAGTTCTGAAGAGTGTCTCCATGGCCTCTTTGGCCTGTATCAGCATCGATAGATACATTGCCATCACTAAACCTTTAACCTATAATATGCTGGTTACGCCCTGGAGACTACGCTTGTGTATTTTCCTGATTTGGGTATACTCCACACTGGTCTTCCTGCCTTCCTTTTTCCACTGGGGCAAACCTGGATATCATGGAGATGTGTTTCAATGGTGTGCGAAGTCTTGGCACACAGACCCCTACTTCACTCTGTTCATCGTGATGATGTTATATGCCCCAGCAGCTCTCATTGTCTGCTTCACCTATTTCAACATCTTCCGCATCTGCCAACAGCATACAAAGGAAATCAGCAAAAGGCAAGCCCGCTTCAGCAGCCAAAGTGGGGATACTGGGGAAGTGCAGGCCTGTCCTGATAAGCGCTATGCCATGGTCCTGTTCCGAATCACTAGTGTATTTTATATCCTCTGGTTGCCATATATCATCTACTTCTTGTTGGAGAGTTCCACTGGCAACAGCAACCGCTTCGCATCCTTCTTGACCACCTGGCTTGCTATTAGTAACAGTTTCTGCAATTGTGTCATTTATAGTCTCTCCAACAGTGTCTTCCGAAGGGGATTAAAGCGCCTCTCAGGGGCCATGTGTACTTCTTGTGCCAGTCAGACCACAGCCAAGGACCCTTACACAGTTAGAAGTAAAGGCCCACTTAACGGATGTCATGTCTGAAGTGGCTCAGATATTGGGTCACTCTGTGTTTTTTTCTTTTTTATCTCTTTGTGTTCCTAGTTCACTAGGAAATCTGGGACAGAATAATTTGACTCTAAGCAATAGCAAACAAATGATCCATCCACATACCTTCTAAGTTTGCAGAAATGAATTTCAAAATGTGCTTCTGAATCAGAAGAATCATGATTATGAAGATAAATTGCTGTTGGTTCTAATTTTTGAAATGTCATGGAAATGACTACGTTCTCAGATTTGAACTGAAAAAAGCCATATCTAACATCTCTCTCCAGCTGGCATGACTGAACCTGGGTGTGAAAGGCATCGGCATTTTAAAAAATCATCATTTTCTTGTTGCTTTCTGTGTTCTTTCCAGCTATTTGAGTTTCATGTGCAATTGATTTCTTTTAAGGGAGTATTAAAATACAATGATGATTAACAGGGTTTAAAAAAAATTTTTTTTGTATGCCAAAGTTTAAGTACACTGAAAGTTTCAACATTGTCATTTAAAAAGCCAAATGTCTTATGTCTTATTTTCTTGAGAGAATTCTAAATAGGGTGAATAATGTGAATACTTAAACATTAATTTTAGAATTTTGCAATGAACCATGAAGCAAAAGTCCAATCAAATTATACAGTGTATGAAAAACTGAGCTACTTTTTGTTTCACAGAGATCTAAAGATATGTATGCATAGAAGTGGTTGTGTTGCAGTATTTTGCCCATGCCTTTCTGTATGTGTATGAGTACATTGAGAATATTTGAATTGAGTTGAATTTCTCTTTTACAGCAGAATATGTTTAAATAAGCTAAAAAATAATTAAGTGATAGGCTGATGGCTGTCAATTTTATTATGGTGAAAATATATAAAAATGTGTCTTAATGTTCTTGTTCTTTTTAATCCAAACACTTTTGAAATATTAGAACATCAGGGAGAAATGTGTCATAATTGAATCAGAAAATATAGTGTAGTATATTAAATCATTTTTTAAATGGAAGAGAATTAAGATGTTTTCTTTGTGATTAAATGGAATCAACTAATAACAGTAGCAACTAATTCTTTTTGAAAAGCATTTTTTGTTAGTGTTAAGCAATACACATTTGAAGGGGGGAAGGAGAAATTCTGGTTAATCTAAGTCTCTTTTATCGCTTTTCTCTTTCTGAAAAAAAATCCTTTGGCGTACATTTCTTTCCTTAACAGTTTTTTTTTTTTGGCCAAAGTACCAGTAAAATCTATAGGATTTTATTATTCTATAGAATTATCATTGAGAGTGATGTGTGTATGTAGTAGTGATGTTTTGTTCTTAAAAGTGATTATCTTTAGAGTAAGAAGTTTATTTTTCTACAAGGAGAGAAGGATTTCCAGCGGCTCCGGGCATGAGAGTATTTCCTGTACTTTTCTACTGGTTTTAATGTTTTGGAAATCTTCAGAGGACTTATGTGATCTCTGCCTTTGGCTAGATGTTGTAATTTGAATGTGGCAATGGTGTTCAATGAGATGGAAGATGGAAGAAACCCAAGGGACATGAGTTAAAGTGAATTTCTGAATTCAAGAAAGGACAGGGCTATTTATAACACAGGCAGATATCCTTTGGTTTTCCATCATGATGTTTGAAACCCTTCTCCCCTTTTTAAACAAAGGGCAGCATTCTTATGATGTTCAGTTTTAGACATAAATTTGATTTTAACCTCAAATATGTTCTATTTAAACTTTTTTTCATTTAAATGACTAAGTATTATTATATAAACATTCAAACTTCAGATTCTGGGTTTTCCCCAAAAGCTTTCTTGCTCTTTATATTTAGTGTTAGCAAATTGGTTCTAGGGTGTTTCAAATTTAGAATTCATACTGAAATTGTAAGTTATGTTAAAAATGACTTTGTTAAATTGCCATTTCAAGTGGAAACTCTTTTGTGCTGGATTCTGAAGAATAGTTGTATTGGACATATTTCCCCTTTTAAGTGGTACAGATCTAAAAAAACCAAAATTTCCCTTTTTTTATGTATGATGGAGAATGTAACTTGTTTAGATTTGTAGTTTGCTTATGATTTTTTAGTTTAGTAAATACAGGAAACTTAAATAGTTAATTGTTGTAGAAAATTGCTATTACATCGGTAGGTTTTACTTTCTTTGGGAGCTGAGCCCTTTTAATTTTTTTCTCCAATAGGGTTCCATCTTTTGAGAAGGGAAAAGAAAAGATACCTGTTTTAATTTTTTGATAATGGCTAATCAAGCTGGTCTTTTAATGACTGCAAAGACAACTCTTTTAATAAGAACTTTTGTTAATAAATGTTTACATTCTTAGTACCAAATTCAGATTTTATTGGAGGCATTTTTTTCCACATTAGCATCTCTATTAATGTGTCAGCTCAGAGCTAAAGTAGAAACTAAATAGATATAGTAATTGCAAAGAAAAATAGTCTCCCCTTGAATTTGATTAATATCAGGTCTTTCCAGTTTCTTCCACTATTAATAATATGCGATTATTCTCACATTTATGTCCATACCGCCTTCTTATTTTATTTGGTTCTATGTGTGTGTGTTGGGGAGAGGGAGTGCATCTGGACACAGTCCTCCAATCTTCGGTGGTTGGGGGCATTTTCTTATAATACATTTGGCGAGTTTGTGTTTAACTAATCTTTTCATCCTGGCATGTTTAATGCAACATTTGATGATGTTTGGTTTGAATACCAATCTGACTAGTTCAGAACGAGAATTATATTTTTAGACTCAATTACCTTGGCTTTGGCAGGATAGCTCATTTGACTTTATATGGTATGTGACTGGTATCAGAGGAAGCATATGCTTTTGGTGATTGTGTTGAAATTATTTCATATTAAACTTTAAAATAATATACTAATTGTTGTCATTTGCAAATTAGTTGTCTGTTTTTATGCATACTTTCAGATAGGTGTGTTTTTTTCCTCTTAAAAGTGGAAAAGAATTACAAATGGACTAGGTCTCCATTTTAGTGAGAGTACTATCTTACACCAGAATGGATATTTGAATTTTTTATGGACCTGTTGACTCTTACCCAAAATTCTATTTTGGAAAAGGTTTTCTTTAAGCTTTATTGCTGGATAAATTCTTTCTGAGCCTTTTATAATGGCTTTTTACTTGAATTACTGCTCTCAATGTTGTGGGGGGAGGTGCGCAGCTGGCTGGTATAGGGATTGAACCCTGGATCTTGGTGCTACTAGCACTATGCTCTAACCAACAGAGCTAACCAGCCAACCACATTCTCAATATTTTAAGGATTGAGAAAACTTGAATTTTTGTACTATAAATGTGTTCTCCACCTCTTTGAACTTGAAAATAAAGTGACAGGGTTATAGGCTCCCAGAAGTGGAATGGTTTTCTGGGAGGGTTTCCTTAGTTTTTCAGGTTTGTTTGAAAAATCTGCACAGTTACTTTGTAGGAAATATCTTAATTTCACTGACTTTATTATTATTATTTTTTGTATCACAAGAGATTTGTGAAATAAATTATTGGCAAACCAGAATTTATTGTCATATGAGCATATTTTAGGAAGTTTAAGGATAGGAGAATCATGACACTATGAGAGTGTCTTTATAAATCATTTTATGTGTTGATTTTGCATAATTTTTCCATTTCAGGAAGAAAAACTAAATACAAGTATTTATATTAAATGTACGTACATTATATTAAATGTACGTACTATTAATATTATTTTACAGACCCTGGGAATATTGTAGACATTTCTTTTTTTTTTTTTTTTGTCTTTTTCCGTGTCCGGCAACGGATCGCAACCCTCAGTGTCGCCCCCGCACCGGACCGGGACCGGCAACGGGACCGCAACCCTCGGTGTTGCTCCCGCGCCTCGCTCAGCCAGTGAGCGGGAACTGGTCTGTATGTGGGATCCAAACCCTCGGGCGGGAGCGCCGCCGAGCTTCCCAAGCGGTGCACTATCCAGTGCGCCACCGGGCCGGCCCGTAGACATTTCTTATGGCTGTAAATGAGCAAGCCGCTTCTCTAAGCACTTAACTTTTTCTATAAAAGGAGATAATGATCCATGTACGTACTATTAATATTATTTTACAGACCCTGGGAATATTGTAGACATTTCTTTTTTTTTTTTTTTTGTCTTTTTCCGTGTCCGGCAACGGATCGCAACCCTCAGTGTCGCCCCCGCACCGGACCGGGACCGGCAACGGGACCGCAACCCTCGGTGTTGCTCCCGCGCCTCGCTCAGCCAGTGAGCGGGAACTGGTCTGTATGTGGGATCCAAACCCTCGGGCGGGAGCGCCGCCGAGCTTCCCAAGCGGTGCACTATCCAGTGCGCCACCGGGCCGGCCCGTAGACATTTCTTATGGCTGTAAATGAGTCATTTGGCTTCTCTTCAAAATTTGGGTGATAAAAGGGCATCATGATATGACAAAAATGAACTTTGAACTGATAACCAAAAATATCTAGGTTTCTGTATAATTAACTAGTTTTGTAAATGAGGGCAAGCTGCTTCTCTAAGCACTTAACTTTTTCTATAAAAGGAGATAATGATCCCTTTACACCTCATAGGGTTACTTTGAGGATTGAATTAAATGAAATAGATGTGAAAGTACTTTGTAAATTGTAAAGGACTTTGCAAATAAAATTGATTACTGTTATTTGTATCTGCCATGTTTTTACATGTAAGGAAGCCATATGTCATGATGTACTCCCACACATTAAGGTCTTTGAAGCTCAATGCTAGATCACTATTCCATGCTACTTAGCAATGTCAGACCTGAGAAGAGAAGTAAGATAAATCCTCACCTTTCTAAAATGCCAGTAGCCTTAAACTGCAAACTCACTGAAGGCAAGGGACAGTGTCTTGATATCTTTATTCCCAAAATGTAACATAGGACCTGGCTCAGGGCAGAAGTTTTAATAAATTTCACAGAATGAATGAATGACTTTAATTATTACTTCTAGTCACCAGCATTCTTCATTCTATAGGGATTATAGGGCAGTGATGTTCAAAAGGTAGTCCAGAGCCCCATAAGCAACCTTCCATTTGGTCTACACCATTCTAGACTCTAAATAATAAATGATATCTCTTTTTAGTACCAAAAGACTAATGTGGGAATGTGAGTGCTCTATATGCTAGGTAACTTCACTTCTGGAAACCCCATAGCCTTGGCCCAGGGAGATTCAGGCAGTGCTATCAAATTGCCAATTTCTCACAGCATGGATAAGAAATATGTAGTTGGATTATACCTTCTTGGCTCTGAATCCAAATAAGGGAGGCTGTAAAACCAGTCACAAGGGTACAGGAGCTATAGAAAGCCTTGGTGAAAGAAACTGTTGTAATTATGTGCTTTTGCTTCATCTCCCTTTCTCTACAAGTTTTCTAGCTCTGTCTTCCCTTCCTTCCTTTTCTTAACATTCTGTTGTCCTGTATCCAGAAGGAAGTATTTTAAATGACACTGGCATAGCGTGTGGGAAATTGGAAGACCAGTGGCTTTTAGGGAAAGTTTAGGCAACAATTGGGAAACACTTATCCAGCAAGCCTTGCTGTGTGCCAGGAACTACAGCTGACCTCAGAGAGGAATCTAAAGAAGTATCATCCCTTTCTTGTAGAACTTCATAGTCTTTAGATGTTTCATGTGGAAAAAAATCTCTGATTATCTGTCTTCAAGAAACCTCATAAAGTAACTTTATCCAGTGGAATTTACCAAGGACTCCTGATGGGACACTCAGAGAGTCTGTTTCTTGGGGTCAGTTTACATGATGCCAATGTGTGAAATCATAATGTCAATTTATTAGTTTTAAAGTAAGAAATAGCAGTTGGGAGGTGTCTTTCTATATTGGTAGATCCTTATACACTAAGCCCAATGTCCAGTGTCCACAATCAGAAAAACCTTGTCTTTGGGATCATAATAAAAGTTGAAATCTTCTCTGCTTCCAGTACTGACCAACCTACCTTCTAATTGACATATTATTTCTTTAGTTCAACTAACTTCTTTGTTATTTGTCCTTTAGTCAATTTCCTTGCAAGACTTAGTAGTCTTGCAATCCTGCAACTCATTCTTTCTCTTTAAGGTAGTTTTATATCACTGGTCTTATCTTTTATCATGAAAGATACTGGTTTTAGAATTTATTATTCACAAGGCAGCCTTATGCCTTTATGTTAGTTCCAGGGAGCAACTCATACTGTTTTTTATGTAGTGCCTTGTTGGAAAAGCAAGATATATGAAAACACCTATAAAATGAGTAGTATCAGTCAGATAATTATGGCTGAGATAGTAAGTATATAGAATGTCAGATCATGTTTAGCAAGAAGGTGGGGAGGGGCAGTTGAATTGGAAAGGACCTTACAAATTGTTTGGTCTGATGCTTTTATTTTATATTATAGACAGGAAACCAGCAGTGTCCACGCATCTATTTATGATAATACCCAGACTTCTTGCTTCCTAATCCATTGCCTTTTTCTAGTAGACCATGTTGCTTTTGCAGAGGAGTTAGAATTTGGATTGACTCAGCCATGCTGTATGGCAGTGTATTTGTGTGTAATACTAGGTATAGGAAGCACGAGCAACAATGTGTTAGTATTAATTGAGGCTCATATGTATCAGGAGAATTTGATAAACTTTATCTTATTTAATCCTTCCAAGACTTTATGAACTGGTGGCTATTAACCCCATTATATAGATTGGGAAACTGAGGTTTAGAGCTGCCAGAGTCACCAGTGTATAGGTGGAAGATCTGGGATTCAAACCCAGGTCTTCCTCACTCCAAAGCCTACATTTTTACCTCATTTAATTCTCACAGCACACTATCAGATAGTTATTTTAATTTCCCCATTTTACAGGTGAGGAAACATAGGCTTAGAGAGGTTAAGAAACTTTTAAGATTACACATATACTAAGTGGTATGACTTAAAACCATAAAACCATTTCTTTGACTATAAAGCTTTGTGTCCTTTACCAGTATATAAGCTAACTCTTAGGCATGAAAAACATGACAGACTGCCTCTTGAATATGCATATTTGTTTCTGTTAACTCCACTACAAAGAATGGCAAAGGTATAATGGACAAAGAGAAGGGGAGCAGAGATGATGGCAGATGAATGTCAATAGATTTCTGGGATGTAGAAACCCAGTGCACAAGTGGTGATGGACTCAGCAGAATTGACAAAGCTGAATCTGAATCCTAAAGTCAAGGGAGGAGGAGGGGCAAAAAGAAGCAAGTTGATTTGTCCATTGAACCCAGTAACTACATTGGAATTGGATTCCCAAGATGCCCCTACAGTAGTATGAAGGAGAAAAAAGAAGAATTGATAGAAAGTTTATATAAGGAACATTCAGTCACTATCACCCTCCACTCCTCTAACCCACCCCACCTTGATCCTCATCCCCAGCTGGCCCAAGCATGCAGCTAGTTTTTCACCATCTCAGCAGATGAGAGATTTACCCTTTGGAGAAGTTGAACCATAGACACTCTGGATGCCAGGCATAGCTGAGGATGAGACTGAGGTATCTGTTGAAAACATGGGAATTAAGAGAAAGTCTGTATGTTAAACAATCAGCCCCCTTGTTCCACTATACTCCCAGAATGCTCTCAGCCAGTCTAGAATCTTCTAAACAGGAGGTTAGAGAAGTCCATTCTGAGGACTGACATTCCAGGGCTCACAAATAAAACAGTGGTATTTCTTGCTCAGTCACCTTAAGGTGATGCCCATCAGTCAGCAAATCCCACCTATTCATACAGAGCTTCCAATTACTTTTTTATTGCTTTTCTTTTAATATTAACAGACAGCCAGAGATCACTGGGTTTGTGAGAAATGCTTCTCACATAAAATACAGGGCCCTAAACAAACAAACAACAAAAATCAGAGGAAGCAGAAACAATACAGGTAGCTGAAGCAGACTT